GTGGGTCATCAATGTCGCTTTCTTCAGACAGGTTTATGTACTGTGGAAACTTGCTGGTTGAAGGTATTGGATCATCTTGAGGGAGTGAAGAGGCAGCACTGGTGGGGCGTGAGGAGACAGCCCTGGGGGACTTCTTAAAATAGATGTCCAATTTAGACTGCAGTTTGTTTTTTCTTTTCATTATAAATTTCTCTGTAGCAAGCAAGTGCATCTTGGATCATTCTGTCAACTTTGGCATAACGCTCATAATTTTGATCCATGCCATCAAACATTTGCATTCCTTTATTAATTGTAGCAAATGCCTCTGCCATATGTTTCACTGAAAACTTTTTGAGGGTGCAGGTTTTTCTTCTACATTTTGTCTCTCTTCTTCCTCTGCAATTTTCTGTGCATCTAGTTCAATAAGATCCTCGTTACTGAGCTCTTCTGCTACACTTTCAACCAACTGTTCAACATCTTCATTATCAATTTCTAACTCCAGCTGTTTACCTAACTCCACTATCTTGTTACTAATATCCGAAATAACTTCATTTTCATTAACTCCTTTGAAACTGTATATCCGCTCAGGCATGCGCTTCCACAATAATCCAGTCTCATCCACATTGAATATTTGCTCAGACAAATAATTCCCTTCCACAATCACTTCATCTAACTCCTCCTTAAAAGCTTCGGCAGCACCAACATCGACACTAGCTGCTTCTCCACTCACCTTAACACTGTGTAGACTGTAGCGTTTTTTAAATCTATCAAACCACCCTTGACTTCCTGTAAAGGTTTGATCACATTCATCTCCTGCCTGCTCCTTCAGGGTTTGGAACAGGCTTCTTGCTTTAGCCTGTATGGTTAGAAGGCTTAATTAAATACGATAATAACGAAAGTTCACAGCATGATCAGTATAGGATACGATAGCCAAACACCAACTAAGCGCTCCACTGAGTGAGTGTACCCGCGCGGCGACCAGAGCCTGCCACGCTCTCGCCCGGGACAGAAACGTTTCGGTATAGAAAATGCGCGTGTCATTTGAAAATATTTTTGGTCACGACTGCCGCGGTCGTATGTCCCGACGGACGTAAGGTCAGAGCAGGTCCAAGCAGTCGTAAGTCGGGGACTACCTGTATAGTCCCCGACTTACGACTGCTTGGACTTACCTCCATTGGTACTTACGACCTGCTGTGACCTTACGTCCGTCGGGACATACGACCGCGGCAGTCGTGACCAAAAATATTTTCAAATGACGCGCGCATTTTCTATACCGAAACGTTTCCGTCCTGGGCGAGAGCGTGGCACATCTCGGGTCGCCTCGTGGGTACACTCACTCAGTGGCGCGCTTAATGTACTGGAAAGCATAAAAGAGAGAGTGCTGGTGGTGTTCCAAAGAAAAGGAGACAGGCAATTACTTTTGAGATGAAAATGAAGATAATAACACAGCATGAGAATGGAAAAGCAGTAGCAACAATCTCACGCGACCTAGGTTTCTCACACTCTACTATATCCACTATTCTGAAGGACAAGGAACATATTCGTGATGCAGTGAAAGGAACAACACCTATAAAGGGAACTATAATATCAAAGAAAAAACAAGGTCCTATTCACGATATGGAAAAATTATTGGTGATATGGATAGAAGACCAGATACAGAAGTGTGTACCCTTAAGCCTTCTAACCATACAGGCTAAAGTAAGAAACCTGTTCCAAAGCCTGAAGGAGCAGGCAGGAGATGAATGTGATCAAACCTTTACAGGAAGTCATGGGTGGTTTGATAGATTTAAAAAACTCTACAGTCTACACAATGTTAAGGCGAGTGGAAAGGCAGCTAGTGCCGATGTTGGTGCTGCCGAAGCTTTTAAGAAGGAGTTAGATGAAGTGATTGTGGAAGGGAATTATTTGCCTGAGCAAATATTCAATGTGGATGAGACTGGATTATTGTGGAAGCACATGCCTGAGCGGACATACATCCACAAAGAGGCGAAAACAATGCCAGGATTCAAGGCATTCAAGGACAGAATTACACTTCTGTTGGGGGGGAATGTTGCTGGTTTCAAGCTAAAGCCCTTCATGATCTATCATTCGGAGAACCCCAGGGCTTTTAAACATGTCAGCAAGCACACACTGCCATTGTTTTATCGCAGTAATAAAAGAGCCTGGATGACCCTAGTACTGTTTGAGGATTGGTTCATGACTTGTTTCATTCCACGGATTCCATACAAGATTTTGCTGATTTTGGATAATGCTCCAGGACACCCACCACACCTGGACGACATGCACCCTGATGTTAAGGTAGGGTACATTCCACCTAACACTACCTCTATCATCCAACCCATGGATCAAGGTGCTATTGCTCCCTTTAAAGCGCATTATTTACGCACGACCTTCGCTCAGGCTGTTACTGCTACTGAAGGTGAGAAAATGCTCAGAGTTTTGGAAGGAGTACAACGTTTTGTCATGTATAAAGAACATTAGTGCAGCATGGGATCAGGTTACAAAACATTGCATGAATGGAATATGGAAGAAAATCCTGAAAAGATATGTGAACAGTTTCAAAGGATTTAATGAAAATGAAGTTATTTTGGATATTAGTAATAAGATAGTGGAGTTAGGTAAACAGCTGGAGTTAGAAATTGATAATGAAGATGTTGAACAGTTGGTTGAAAGTGTAGCAGAAGAGCTCAGTAACGAGGATCTTATTGAACTTGATGCACAGAAAATTGCAGAGGAAGAAGAGAGACAAAATGTAGAAGAAGAACCTGCACCCCCAAAAAGTTTTCAGTGAAACAAATGGCAGAGGCATTTGCTACAATTAATAAAGGAATGCAAATGTTTGATGGCATGGATCAAAATTATGAGCGTTATGCCAAAGTTGACAGAATGGTCCAAGAGTCACTAGCTTGCTACAGGTAGATTTATAATGAAAAGAAAAAGCAAACTGTGCAGTCTAAATTGGACATCTATTTCAAGAAGTCCCCCAGTGCTGTCTCCTCACGCCCCACCAGTGCTGCCTCTTCACTCCTTCAAGATGATCCAATACCTTCAACCAGCAAGTTTCCACAAAACATAAACCTGTCTGAAGAAAGCGACATTGATGACCCACCCAGCCCTGTCTCCTCTGCTTCATCCAATTAATATAGTTCCATGTATCCTGTAAATAGAAAATTATGGGGGCCCTGTGTGCATTCAGCTGACTACATTTAAGGTAAGTGCTCAGTCACACTGTATCCATTCCTCATTATTTATTACTTTTACTGTACTGTATTTCATTGTAGATTTTTTATTTATTTATTTATTTTTTTAAATTTGATTTTTTTTTTATCTATGTCGGACTTACGACCTGGATTTGGGGTCCTAACCCCGTCGTAAGTCGGGGAGCACCTGTACTGAGTAAAATACCTGCTTGCTTCTGTTACATCTTGTGTTTCAGAACAGTTTGCCCCATATTTCACATCTACAATAATACAAATAAAATTTCAAACCAAGAAATATGTTCACAGGACACACATACCACAACTACACACCAACTATGGAGATAATGTATTAGATAAAAATTATGGATGCACAAAATATTACATAGCTCTAGTAGGCAAGGGCACAAAAATATGGAAATATCTTTTCTATCTTTTTTTTTTTAATTTAAAACATTGCTGTACTGAGCTTAAACCTGGTTTGTTCATATTGATTCTCAAATGATACTTGCATTACTACATAATATCAATATACACTACAGTATTCTAGATTCAGTCATAACATTTAACTAATATTGCCAAGCCATTCCATGAGATTTAATTAGTTGTATAGCACTATCACATATCACAATACTGTACATAGTTGAGGAAAAATAGGAACCCTTGAACACAATTGGTTATTTTTTACCTCCTATTGCAGTTGTTCACTTAAGACAGTCATGTTCAGTTCCATTTCACTTCTAGTAATTCTCTGTTAAGTTTTATGATGAAACAGCACAGAATCGAGATGCCCAATGAGACCACTTATCTGCATGTGACTCCGTCTACACCTGCTCTTTTCCCAGGTTTCCACAGTAAGCTCAGAGCATTCCACCGTTAAGAACAAAGTCTAACCAATTAATGAAGTTGGTCCAACTTTTGCAGCATAACAGATCTGTTCACTCCATTCTTTATCTCAACCCACACTTCCAAATAATACTGTAACTTCATCCAAGTTTTCAGAATCTGACAATGTTGTTTCTAAGTAAGTGAACTTTTCCACTGCTTGGAAATGCATTCAGATATGAAGGTGTTTGTTGAGATGTATGGTTTGTTGATGCTTGAAGGTAGAACTTGAGTCTTCTGCAGTCTGATAGTTAAATCAATTTGCTAAGCTACTCCTAAGAGGGAAGTTGATTAAGCTCAGGTGGTTCTTCAAATTTCCTACCATAGTTATCAACAAAAACCACTTTCCTGTCAAGCATGAGAAGGGTCTTCATCTTGGCTTTGCACCAGCTGAGAAGGGAATGAACAGTGTGGCAGCTAGTACTCATCCCTGACTCACGTCAAATTATGAGACCTCACATGGCTTTGAGCTGGCATTGGTTTTTGATTACTTGGTAAGCAGATTAAACACAAATTTCTCAGAGCACCCAAACTTTTGTCAGAATCTTTCAGAGATTATCCCTGGTTTTAGTTTCAAATCCCTTGAAGTTGAAAAAGAAGATATTTTCTGCTTAATACATTTCTCCTTCAGTTGGCATGGTGCAGACATCATGAGTGCTGTATCAATCCTTGTGAGTCATACTGACTTGCTTGGTATGACTAATGAGAACCCACTAAGACACATCATTATTATGTATGTCAAGGAATAACTTAAATACTTGATACTTAATATTACAATTCACAACTTTCACAAACTCCTACTTTAAATAATACAAGTGTCAAAAAGACATGAACCAGTATAAATGCTTAGAAATGAATTAGATGACTACCAGGCATATTAACCCTTAACAAGGTCATGAAATTATTTAAAAATACTATGGTCAATAATTATAACCTTACTAAGAATAAGCATATATTTTTTATTTACAGGTCTTTGGTATACAATGACTTACATTCACCTCTTATACAGTGTATATACAGTACTGTTAATCCTTCATGTTCCGTGGTTTGTATAGTCCGATCATAAAGCTTCATGATGGTTTTATCGATATACAGTATTCACATCCTAATGAATGTGCAACAGAAACAAAGCTTTAACTGTTGCCTTATAGTGCCATGATCTAAATTATCCTCTTAACTCTGCAAAGGATCATAAAATCATGAAACTTAAAAAGCTTTACACAAAGGTGACCTATGAAATGCAAATCTTTTAAATTTTAATTACAAATGTGATATAAATATTTTTTTAAATAAAATGACAGAAAACACTCTTAAAATTCCTTAACAAAGAATGGGCTGCAATCACACTGGGTTGCCACTAAGAGGTTACAAAATTGGTATCTTCCTTACGAAGAATCTTTCTCCCACGTGAACTGGTACCAGCCATGAGAAGTATACTTGTTGGAATAGAGCTGGCTGCCTCTGAGCTAATATTCATACCCTGGTACCTACTGTCAAGAACCAGTTTCTGAGGTCTACCTAATTTCTTCTTAAATTTTTTTTCAGTACTTATCTCTGTTTTTTCTCTGCTGGTGTGTGCTCTCAAAGGAACAGAAGGTGTAGGCCCATCTAAAACCACATGAGGTGATGCAGGAGTTGGGAGAGGACTGCCATCATCTAAATCCAAATCAAAACTTGATTCCTGTCAATGGAAAATGAACCTTTATGATTTTACCTATTATAGTATTTTTTCTTTTGCAGGTCCTTTCCTGCTAAAGTATACAGAAAGGCAGTTGAAGCCCTAACATGCTTCAATTTCACAAATATAATCCCCCAAAATAGTTGAGCTGATCAAATAAATGTGATGGAAAATACAGAAAAATTGATGAAGCAACAAAAGTTGAGAAGTACAGTGTTTTGTACAGAGCATGTGTTGAGACTACAGTACTGTATTATAAAAAGTCAGTCTACTCTTTATGATGATGTTCTAGCTTGCAATGTAAGTCCTGCAGTGAGTGCTACTATGAAAAGCAGAGCCGAGTGCCTCCTGTAGAGAGGACTCTCCTGACAGACCAATGAACTGAAAGGAGAATGATGATTGCTGGCATTGTCAAACGGGCAACTGGTGCAGTGAAAAAATGATTAGAAAGCAAACTTTATTAGGTCTCGACTATTTTTTTTTTCGCTGGCGGTGATAGACTAAGAAGGGGCATACATAATGTTCAATTAATATTGATGTATTGCAAATAAATCCATATATAACTGTTAAGGATACCTAGTTCTGGCTCACTTTAATGCCAAATTTACTGTCTGTAAAGATATTACTGCTTGAAAACATTAACTTTCAAGATAAAAGTGAAAAAAAAGTTTGAAATAAAGAATATATCCCACTGAAGTCACAACAAATTCAGGCTTTGGGGAGAACACATTTGCCACTTGTTTCCTTTTCACTAATTATCATTTATATCAAGATAAATGACACCAAACATATAAAGCAACAGATAATAATGAACATTTCATAACGAGTAGAATCACGTATAAACCCCACATACTCATGTAAAGGTGTCATTTATGACGAACGTTGGGGAGGTAGTGTGCTTGGCAGAAGGGGGAGTGTGGCTGCCAGCAGTTCCAGCTCATTGCCTCAATATATGTATACCCCCCCACACACACATGCTCTTCATTTTTTGTTTATAGTTTTATATTATATTTTCTTTGTTCCTAAGCCACAATAGGGTATTGTAATGATGTGCACTTGGAGCAGAATATCCCCAGTTTTTCTGACTTTCCTCCCAAATTTTTTCCAGTGAGTCGAACATCGCCAAATCGAAAAGTGACCATCGTTAAGGAAACTGCCTGAGGCGAGATAGTTGAAAAATATTTAAAATAATCGAAAAATTAAAACATTCTCAGAGCCTTGTGTGCTCTTCTAGTAGCCACTCCCACAATATCAATGCTAATTATGGAGATTTGGCAATTAAATGCCCCCTCCCCCTCACTCGCTTGCATGATCAAGGTCATTTTGACGAGTATCAACAACCTCTTGTAAAATATTCATAGAAAATAAACTAGAAAACATAACTTACTTCTGCTTTCTCTGGCACTATCTGGCATGCTACTGAGTGTAGAGGGAGGAAGGAGGAGCAGCTGGACTAGCATTCAAATAAGTGAAGTCAGTACGCTTTCGACTGTCAAAGTGGTCAGATATACGATTCATTACTCGCTGCAGCTCGCTTTCTCAAAATAGGTTTTTCATAGCATTTTCAGATATTTCTCCACTATTTTTGGGTTGATTAAAAAAACACAAATATGAATAATTTCTTCGTTGTACTTTTTCGAGATAAAAAAGAAAACAAATATTAGGAGAGGCTGAATAGTATAAAAAAAATAGAAAAAAAAATTTGCTTAATACATGTATATAAAAAAAGGTAATTCCAACAATTCGTTAAATATGTTGATAACCATCACATAAATAATTTACAAGAAAATTCTTCATGGGATGGCAGAGATCTATCAAAATGAAATTTCAAATTTTTATAAAAAAATCCAGCCCAAAATGATTGAAACTTGGATATAATCAATACTGTATAGATAAAATATACATAACATATATAAAAATCATGATAATCAGATAATAAATAAAATTGTCCAAGTCTGTATCCTTAAACAAAGAAAGGGTGTTAAAAATTTTATATCGCAAAACTGAAATATCGCTTAGAGAATGATCATTAAATGAGTGATACCTCTACAGCATATGGTTTTACTTGCATTAATCAATATTAATCGAATATTATGTATGAGCCAATTTGCTGCAAAGGGAATGGATCTTGTACAGTACTGTCAACTAAAAAAGAAAAAAACTATAGTCTCACACACCCCGATTTCATGCTTTAACTCTAGAGAAGAGTACATGCTAAATTAAAGAAATATTTGTGCCTATGGAGTATGGTACGGTGAGCACGGGTGGAACTCAAAATGCAGCCCACCTCCTCATGTGAGTTCTGGGTGATTTGAATAATAACAATTGATTGAGAAATTTTTATTAAATTCAGCAAAGAGCTGCATAAAATTATCCCTTGTTTAGCAATAACTTCACTTAACCTTAGGATTTTCAGGAACACCTTTGGTGTAAATCGTTTTGCCACCTCCATAGCCTAGCTCAGTACGGAAAATTGAGTCATACATTTGAGATCATAAGACAAGACAAGCATATTTCACCAGCACCAGTTACCATATGAGTATGTACTGAAGGTTTACTTTTTGTCTTGTCCCTGTGGGGTGCTATTTTTCTTACAATGTTTGCTTTACACTGCTGGTGCACCTCTCCATTGTGCCCAGATGGCAGACATGTAGGGATGATGCTATGACAATAGTTGCCTTGTACAAGGCAAACAATAGTTTGGTATATATTTCGATATCAAACTGGTGTGTTTTTGCAATCTGTGCAATGACTGATCAAGTGGTCCAGGAAGGAGGAGGGGGGGAATTCCCACTCCCTGCCCAAAGAGTGGTAGACCCAAAATTATGATCTCTAGAACCCTGAAAGCTGTTGCAAGACAGGTTAAGCCTAAACCCTCACTGATAGCATGTGAGGTTAAGGAGGGTAATCCAAGGTTGTTAGGTGAAGTGTCGCTGAGCACTCTGTGCAACAATGAACTACATGATGACATAGGCTTTTGACATACTGGTGAGTGTTAAATAAAAATAAATAAATAGATAAATAAATATATTACAGCAAAAATTTCGATTTCATACTTACATTTGATGAAAGGCTAAAAGCATCCTTCTCAAGGTCAGTAGGCTTCCACTGTTTCTCAAATACCTGGAAAAGAGAAAGATAATTTAAAGTCTTCTTGATACAAACATACTAAAACAAATCTTGCATATAAGATGTCCATTCTGAAACTGCTATGAAGTACAGTTGTTTAAAGTATTGCACTTTGAAGATGCAGGTAGACACCTTATCATTACTTTATGGAACATATCAATGTTAATCATAATGTTTTTTCAGGTATTTTAGATGCTAAAACTAATCTCATCTAATTTTGGGGTAACTTTGGCTGATATAATATCAATTAACATCTTTTCAATAAAACTGGTTTTATTTTTTCGAGATTATTTAATTTTAAGAAAAATCAAATCAAATACCAATACAATTCCCAGTATGATTTTTAAATATGACAATATTTCATTATCATCAATATCTATTAACATATACTCAACATGAAATATACAGGAATCCCTCCTTTAACAATGGGGATGCATTCCTGAAAACCTACATTAAGTGAAATTATTGCAACGAGGGAGAAAACTAGGAATAATATCCGAGGAGATGGCCTGTTGCCATTGTTACTGTACATGTAATGAAACTATAAAAGTTGTAGAATAATCATTAAAATGTGGCTTAGAATAAAACAAAAACAAAATAATTATATATATATATATATATATATATATATATATATATATATATATATATATATATATATATATATATATATATATATATATATATATATATATATATATATATATATATATATATATATATATATATATATATATATATATATATAGAGAAGTCCAAAAATCCGGACTGCTTGGGGATTGGGTCGGTCCGGATTTTCGGATTTTCGGTTCTCAGGCAGTACTAAATCAAATTGGGAGGAATAAAAGATGAACAGTTACATTCTTATGGTCATGGGTGATCCCAAGCCCACCATGACCATAGAATATCTTAATATTACCATTTCACAAAAATTTCTCATTCCTTCACAACTAAAACCTGGAGCGTCAATGTGGCATTTAAAACTCATGCACTGTTAAACAAATGTTAATCAAGAACCCCCAACAACAACACAGTTGCATTTATAAAGTTCCTTGCAAGGAATGTAATATGTTTTACTTAGGCCAGACAGGTAAAAATCTTGCAACTAGAATTAAACAACACAAATACAGTGTTAGGGCAGGCCAGAATCAATGCTCTGTTTGTTCATTTGAGGGATAACAAGCATTGCATTGACTTAGGATAAGCCTCCTCAATATTACCATGTAATTCAATTGATAGTAGGAACATCATAGAATCTAGTCTTATTAAACATACGAAGCATTCAACATGAATTTGAGTAATGGCATGTACAAGCTGGACAATTTTGTAATTAGAAGATCTGTGACCAGGTGAAGAGGCGGGTCACCTGACCATCTCCCTGACCACCAACCGTTGTGTGCTATTTAAAGATTAGTAGGGTCATTACCTAATACCTGACCATTGTTGACTTCTCACCCTCCTCTGTAATATATACACACTTAGATTGTATTTCTCTCTCTAGTCTGTACTCACCCCTGAAGATGTGAATTACACCGGCTAGGAAGTTCGACTTTTTCTCTCCTGTGGTTTAATCAGCATATATATATATATATATATATATATATATATATATATATATATATATATATATATATTATATTATTAATATACATATATATATAATATATATATATATATATATATATATATATATATATATATATATATATATATATATATTATATATATATATATAGGATTGTGAAACGAGTTTGGCTTTCTTCCGACCTCAACATGTTTTGCTTGCTGGCGGGCAGCCAGCTTTGTATCAGTCCACAATACATTAATGTCGGTTCTGGGGCGTTGGTTATTTTTGGTAAATATCAAGAAGTTTATACTATTCAATAATTTTAAAGTTTAATATTAATTTTTTAGTCATTTTAACAATTATTAGACTTAATTGAAGGTGTGGCTTAGTTTTTCTTGGCATCAGTTTAACAACAAACAGGTTAGTCTCTCTGTTTTTCACTGGAGTAATATCTTGCTTGAGATATTTCGTAGCCTTTTTTCTGTGTTTTTAAAGCAAATTATTGGTCATTTTGAAATATATTTTTACATATTGACAATATATGTGCAGTACAGTGTTGTTTAAGGATAATCTTGTACCAAGAGGACTTTTTATGGGTGAAATGGTGCCTTGAGATTTTGCTTCTCTTTTAATGCCTTCTCTTCTTCTTCTCCTGCTAACGAATTGTATTTCCATCATCATCATCATCATCAGGAGCCTTCTACATACACACTCAGTAAGTGAAATTTTCTACCGTTTTTGTTGAGTTTAGGAATTTTAGTTGAGCTGAACAAGTTACCCAAACCATAACAATGGTTTGGGTTAGCAACGTTTAGGGTTGACGAAACGACAAACTAGAGCAGTTGAGTTAGTTAACTAGAGTTCTGTATGTATATATATATATATATATATATATATATATATATATATATATATATATATATATATATATAGATATATATATATATATATATATATATATATATATATATATATATATATATATATATATATATATATATATATATATATATATATATATATATATATATATATATATATATATATATATATATATATATATATATATATATGAAATTCCGTGTTATGCATTTGTGGTTTTTGTGCATTCAGCTACTCAGTTATCAAGTGGCTCAAGGCCACAGCCGTCTCACATACACACACACACACCTCACTTTCCACACACACATGCCTCACCCCCTTACCCCACACACCCATGTTTCTTTATTTTCTTATTTAATAATTTTATATATTTATAATATCTTTATTTCTAAGCCACATTAGATTATTTTAATGATTTTTCTACAAATATTAGAGCAGTAATGTTCCAGAAATGGTTGTGAAATGTGGCAGTGTGTGTGTGTGTGTACTGCAAAACTTGCTTATTAGTATTGTATTGACTTTTAGTAGTTGTTGGAACATATCCTAATTCCCTGAGGTTAAGTATTCACTATATGCGGTCCCATATGCTGTGTTGTTGCAGATGCAACCTAGCATAAGTGATGAGGTAAGGTGAGTGTGCAAACAAAAATTTCAGCACATGTACAGTGTTTATGTAAAGATAACAAGCAGTAGTTCATGTGAGCTTAGGCACCCAGCTAATTTCACCTGATTATTAAGTCAAACATAACTTTAAACTAGCCTCCCCCACTCCCATTAGCGTGGGGTGTTATAATGATCAGATGAAACAAGCTGGGCTGCGCTATGTATCTCAACAGTCAATTCCATAAAGGTGGCACTGCACAGCCTGGATGTATGAAAATAACGTCATACCCCATTAATCTGGACGTGACACAATAGAAAAAGAACCTGTTTCAACTTCGCCACATTTGAGATGTTCGGTAATCCACAGTCATAATTTTGACAATTACTCACTTCTTGCAGTTGGATTCTGCATATTATTTGAACCCACTGTCTCCACTTAAGTCTTGTATCTTCTGAGAGATTCTACTGAAAGGAATACAAATCAATTTGCAGTTATACATTAACCAGAATAAACTACATATAAACTTCACTATATGTATTTATATATAGTGATAGAGTGAATGCAGTGTAAGTTCTCTTTCAACCTTTCTCCACTGTAATACAGGGATGGCTGGAATCATCAAAACTCACACACGACTTGCCCTTCATCAACTGTTATTCATGTATTATATAGTACTATATTCTTAGTTGCTATTTTTATACTTTATACTTCGATGTGTATTCAGCAATGTTACTTTAAATTCAAAATCCATGTCCCAAAATACCAATCTAGTTGGCCCTGTCTCTTCATATAATCCAGCATTGTTCGCAGCACTTTCATTTTTATAGGAATATTTTGACATTAAAAATCACCATTTTTCCTTCTCGAAGTAGTGCATCATACTGTAACAAAAACTTAACTGCAAATTAAAAAGGATAATGTAAATGCAGTAAATCCTCTGACTATAACAGTTGCTATATCCTTGGTGTAAATTATGAAAATAGTAGAGATTGCTCTTCGCAATAACAGATGCCAATTTTTTTATCAAAAAGCTTCTCTCTTTCTAATTTCCTCTTCTTGGGACCAGAGTTTAGCTTCTTCCTTTCTCAGACCTTCACTTTTTGTGCCTGCAAGAGTTGGTGTTTTCAGTGTAATAATTGGTGAAAAAATAAAATGAATAAAACCTTCATGAACTGTGTATATAAAGATATTAATATATATTATTAGCATACTTTATTACAAATGGGTAGACAGAACAGATGTGCTGACAAGTAGGTTATGCTCTACATAGACAGAAGTGTTAACAACTGTTGGCAACTAGCTATTTCAAGTATATGTACTGTGGTATGATTAAACCTTCAGTGTGTAATATAAGAAGAATATATATCCTGTGCAGGGGATACCATAAGAAAATATATCCTGTACAGAGTATATATACAGAAATTAGTTTGTACATGGGTAATGAATGGTCTTTGCCTAATTGCTGGATACCTGCATGTGGACATCTTAAAAACTGAACATGGGATTCTTTTGGAGGTTATTTTTCTTTCAAGTAGCACCAGGGATTGGACAATAGCATTTTTGTAGCTGTCAGATTATAAAATGCTTTTGAAATTATATCTTGTTTTCGTGCTTGTAAGCTGACTGTATGCCGAGGCGAATATTTGCCTTATCGGTTCTGGCGACTGATGTGGGTGTTTGCCGACCCTTGACTCTGTGGGCCTTACGTTAAAAGCGGTTTGATGTTGATCTGCTGACTTGCCTTCGTAGTGGACCTCTTATCTGCTTACCACATTTCTCTCCACTTAGCTTTCCATATCTATGAGGTGGTTGTCTTTTTAAACCTTTGGTTGGCCAGCAGCAGATGATGATGCATCGTTCAGTTAAAGTTGTAGATTGCAAGGAATCAAACTCGGCTGCAAGGATTAGGCGTTCTTGGAAGCAGGTTCGAGGCGGAAGAAG